TCACCATATATATTATATAAAATAATGAGAAATTATATTTGACTTCAGTTGGACCATATTCACTCAAAATCTAGTAAAAAAAACTTTCAACACATTTAGGTATCTACTTTGACTTGCTGTACAAAAAATTACATAAAAAAGTTTTCCTTTACAGATTTGCTTGAATGTATTTACAGATTTGCAATGATACCATTTTGTACAGTTTGTTTACTTTCTGATTCAGCTGCTTGACGTTTTAATGGTGTTTGGTGGATGTAAATATAGTTTCCATGAGATTTTAGCCAAGATTCTTAGGTTTCTCTTGAAACAAACATGTCCAGGTTCATCTGACAGATCTGAAGTTAACAGAAGTTAAAAGATATAGAAAATGGAAAAAGCTGTTTTGCCCCTGGTACCGGGGGAATGGGGCTCTTAATGCAACAACATAAAATCTTTCTCCTTTCTCAACACGTACAGGTATCAGAAACAGAAACAAAAGCAGAACACAGCCAACAGTGTGCAGGTAGGTGACGTCACCCAGCAGAGACTCTTGAATTACTGATGGAGAACTGATCTGTGAACTTTATCCTCCTCCCAGATGAGAGCAAATCTGACTCAACCCAAACACGATGAGGGTGAGGACACAAATACTTTGGAAAAAATTCAGGTTTAGACACTTACAGGGGTTGATCTTGAAATGTGTTTCTTTGAATTTTGCTTTTAGAGGCTGGAAAGGAAACACAGAAATTTGAAGGCAGTCAGAGATCCACTTCAGGACCAGCATCAGAAGGGAAGAAGACCAAAACATCGAAGCTGTGTGTTATCCTATAAAATGCCACCAGGATCAAATTAATAACCAATGAGGTGCCAAACTCAGGCAGTTGTTTTGTCATTGATTTATCTTAACAGCTCTGTGAGCAAACAGGGTGAGGGTCTTTTTTAAAACATATTTTGAGTGAAATATTCTTATTTTTTTAACATGGAGATAGGTAAAATTTGAACCTGGGTAATTATAACTCAGGATATTTAGTTGAGCTAAAAAGAACAAACCAAACTTCAGTTATTAGATTATTACAACTATGGTTGGTGCTGCTAGCTGGTGCTAATTAGCACCAACTAACAGTATTGTGGAAACCAAAACTCATTATAAACTAGACATGGGTTTTTACAATGTAAAAACAAGTGTGCATTGCCATGTAGCATGTCATTGCCTGCAGCATTGGACTTGCAGAATGAACTGTGACCAAGTTCAAAAGTGTTTTCTAATTATTATCAGTCAAACACCTGCCAAGTCAGCAGGTGTTTGTAATGAGCGTAATTGTGTGACGATGTATCAGCCTGAAAATATGTAGTTTTACTGAAATAGTTTGATCATAACTGGAATTGAACCCTGCTCTCATGCATGAAAGCCCACAGTGTTCAACATCAGTCTATAGGAGCTGTGGCAAAGAACAATCCCAGGGCTTGGATTGTATGTGTGCAGAAAGCGTTTACCTTGCCAATGCAATTATTGACACTAAACCGCATAATATTACAACAATAGAGCAGTATTGAGCCAATATTATTGTAAAACATCAAAATACAATCATATTAGTATTGTAAACACTACTGCTGAGTTTAAATATTATTAAACTATGGTGCAGTACCATATTGTGTAGATGCAGCAGGGGGCAGTATTGGACCAATACAAGGCTCCATTGACTGCCATTATAATTTATTAAACTATCATTTTTACAGGCACCAAAAGGCATAGCCATCATTTGGCACAGGAGCTTTACAGYTATAAATTACAATGGCAGCTCTAGGACAAAAGAATGCAGGAGTGGTATCGTGCCAAAGTTGAGATGACTTGGATGTGAAACGAATCCCRATAGTGTGCATTGCATTGGCAATGCACACTGACTAAAGATAATGAAGCCAACCAGTTTAAACATCTTACAAGTTTTTAACCATCTTAACTTTAATCATTACATCTTGAACCAAAGGTCCACTCGGTCACGTCTGATTCTGTCAACTTCAGGCTTGAAAACATGGCTCATCTCAAACCCACTAAACTTTCTGAMCCAATATTCTGCTCAAACCAACCCAACAAATACAACCCAGCCAGAGTTATTAAAACAAACTGACACAATCAGGTGCCAATCAGTGTTAATTATGTTGCAGTTTATTGAATGTGCTAAAATCACTTAAACATCAGTATTTTTATAAAAATGTTTAATGTTGTGTAATTTAATATAACAAATAGTTTTTCCTCTTTGCATAACTTCACAGCTGGTTTGCAATTTGTTGGATAAAATTTATTTAGAAACAAACAACAAATAGAAGATGCTTTTCGTTGGTTTTAACCAGTTGTTTGTCTTTAATCACAGATTTCATCCAATTAATTTTTTCATTATTATTTAGTCGCAACAATCAATATCCTAAGCAGAAAAAAAGAAAAAAAAGTAAAGTTCAATATTGCACTTGAGCTTGCTTCCTCTTTCCCAGTGAGACACACGAGTCCATTTGGTTACTGCATTGGGTTCAGTTGAGGTGAAACCTCTGGAGTGTAGTGCTCTTTTTGTTCCATAATGTTCTTRAGAAACACGACAGAAGGTCCATTGGTTCAACTGGAGAAAGAGCTGTCACTGTTGCTGTCGTCTCCGACCACCATGCTGCTGTACTTCTTCTGCTGCTGCTCCTTAAACGTCTCCTTCACCTTCGCTCTCTTCAGGCCTCCATCCCTGTGGGCAGATTATTACTTTAATCTCTCTTTAATCTCTCAAAATCCTCAGTCACCTTACAGAAAATTACTGAACTTCAAAAGGTAGAACTTTTTTTTTTAAAGCTTACCACTGTAGATCCACCAGCCCTCCCTGATGAGCTATGGCTGATTTTACTCTGTTGGCAAAGTGGACTGCATCCTCCCCCTCCTGACATTAAAAAATAAAGAATAAGTTTATTATATCTGATGTGTGAAGATTATTCTCTTAGACATATCCTGCTTTTAAATACTTCTTTTCACATTTAAATCATTCAGTTATAAAGTGGAACTGAATTCCTCCTTATTGTAACTCCACAAGCCCGGCCTCTTTTCTGAGGTGTCTCTCAGATCAACTCGTTTCGAGGTTGTTTCTTTAAATCCAAACAAGGTGCTTCATGCCCCACCTCCCTCT